AAAAAAAGGAGTGCAAAAATGAAATTGGGAAAAGGAAAAAAAAGTAAGAGAGAGAAGAAAGAGAATGAAATAGAAGAGCGGAAGAAACTATTTATATGGGGAGAAAACTCCAATAGAACAGCTACTAATCCCAACAAATTCCAGCCACAGAATGCAAACTACAAACAACAATTGATATCAAGTGAGGCAAGGCAAAATAGGAGCAAAAAAATAATAATAATAAAATAACCGGAAAAGAAAAACAAAACAAAACAGAAAAATAGAAAGAAAAAGCAAAACAATCTCACAAAAAAGCATAAAAACCCCCCAATATACTGAACAATCAAGCAAACAACAACAAAATGACAGAGAAAAAAAATATTTGGATAGTGAAGAAAGAGAAGAGAGAGGTGTATTTGGATTTAGAGCAGGGGATTGGAAATTAGATATATAAGTAGGGTTAAATTTTAACAAGGGTAAAAAGAAGGAATAAGGAAAATCTAAAGCAGGAATAGGGCAAGAGAAACAGGACAACAAAAGGGGAAAAATGAGGAAGAGACTTTTGGCGTAAAGGTAAAGTTGAGGTAGAGTAAAATGATACTAAAGAAAAGATAAAAATAGAATGTAGAACACTAATCCCAAAATAAGATAAAGAGAAAATATAATGACACTTTAAAAAAAGGTAAAATGGTAGTAGTAATAATACTTATTAAAAATAAAAATGTAGTAATTAAAAAGGTGAAGTCAGGTGATGGAAAAAGAAAAAAAATTAGTTTCTTAAGTAAAAGGTGAAAATAAAAATATAAAAATGTGCAATAGTGAAGGCCCTTCAGTTCCTCTACTCTTCTGTTTGACACGCCTTAGTTCTGTCAGGAGAGTGTTAGAGTGTTGGAGTTCCCTGCGATACACTGTTCCTCCGTGTTGTAAACCACAGTCCTGATTTTAAAGCAGGCAGTATTTGTTTCCCAGTCTGCCTTTATTTGTGTTTACAGAAGAGTCAGTTTGTGGTTCAGCCCCTGGGTAGCAGTGTTTCTGGATTGACCTCCGAGGCTATAAGTCCTCTCTAGCCAGTAGTTTAGGAGAGGTGACTGCCACAGAGATGTTTCTTTGATTGTTACTCCCCGCTCTGATTCCCAGGTTCCACAAAAACAACTTTCCCCTGCAGTCTCTGTGAGTGACCCCAATTGGGCGATCCTATGTATTGGGTTTAATAATCA